GTCCTGCCCTCTCAGGACGTCACGTTTGACAAATTGGTTCCCTTTTACCGTCTCTTCCCCTACCGCACTGCCCCTCTCCCCCCCGCCGCTCTTCCTCGCTCCAGGTCCCCCTCCGGTAGACCCCCTCCCCCCTCAGGGTCCTGCTCCCTCAGGTGTGTCTCAGGTAGACCCACTCCCCTTGGCTGAGCCTATCGAGGTCACTGTAGACTCTGGTGCTGCTGGGGGTGGTGCTGCTAGGGGTGCTGCGTGTGGGGGTGCTGAGCCTGCGGGTGCGGAGCCAGGGGGTGCTGAGCCAAAGGGTACTGAGTCTGGGGGTGCTGAGCCTAGGGGTACTGCGTCTGCCGGAGGTCCTGTGGGTGCCTCGCCACGGCAGTCTTGCCAGAGGGAGCCTCTCTCACCGCACCGCGAGTGGTTTGCTCGGCGCACACACCTTAGGAGTGGCGCTGCTGGAGCTGGAGGCCCTGCCGCTTGAGGCACTGGAGTTGGAGACACTGGAGTTTCTAGTCCTGGAGGTGCTGGAGGTACTGCTGGTGCTGGAGGCGCTGGAGTTGGAGGTACCGGAGGTGCTGGAGCTGCTGGTCATGGAGGTGCTCATACTAGAGGTACTGGAGCTGCTGGAGCTAGTGGTGTTGTTGGCGCTAGAGCTGGAGACCTTGGAGCTGGAGGCACAGGATCTGGAGGCGCTGGAGCTGGAGGCACTAGAGCTGGAGACCCTGGAGCTTGAGGCGATGGAGATGGAGGCGCTGGAGCTAGAGGCACTGGAGCTGAAGGCGCTGGAGCTGGAGACACTGGAGCTGGAGGTGCTGATACTGGGGGTGCTGGAGCTGGCGGTACTGGTGCTGGAGGCACTGTGCAGCGGCAACCGTTTTTCGTTCCGCCGCCGCCGTCGTCTCTGCCGCCACCTGGCTCGGTACTTCGCCAGGTTCTTAGTCTCCCGTCTTCTACTGGCCTTACTCCTCTCTTACTGTGTCCACCGCCTCACTAGTCGCAGCCACAGTTACAACCAGACTCCCCACTGCTTGCTCCTTCTCCTTACACTGAGCAGACAGACTCTCTTACAGAGCGTCGTGAGCCTGCGTCTCTTCTTGACTCGCCTCTTCGCGCTGTTTGCACTGGTCGTCGTGTTCCTCGTCCACGTCCTCCTACTGTCCCCGGCACTCACATTATGGCACTTCGTCCTTCCTCTGTCCCACTTCGAGTTCCCCTGCCGTCTCCTCATGCGTCCTCTCTTGCTGACGTTGAGTCTGACTTAGTTTGTGCTGCCAATCCTACTGTCACACGTCTTCTAGCCATTGTTGTCACTGACCCTTCGTTTGAGTCCACTGCTGCGTCTGCCCTAGTTGCTGAGCTTGTTGAATTTGCTGTTGCATGTCGTCTCGACTACGCTGCTAGTCTTGTTGCTGAGTCTGCGTCTGACTGTCCTCCGTCCGTCGGGGGTGAGTGTGCTCTTGGCACGGACGTCCTTGAGGATAGGCAGGAGGAATTTGAGTGTCTTGCAGCTGCTGTACCTCATCTCGTGGCCATGCTGCTTGCACCTGAGGGAGACTTGGACGCACCAGACATCCCGACCCTGCGCTCTTAAGCAGAGGCGATTACGGGTCCCTACTCCTCTCAGTGGCAGACAGCCATGGACGCAGAGATGGCATCCTAGTAGTCCACAGGCACTTACGTCGATGCAGTTCCCCCTCTTGGGGTTAACATAGTCGATGGCATGTGGATTTTCAGGGTGAAGCAACCGCCGGGTTCTCCTCCTGTCTTCAAGGCTCGTTACGTTGCACGAGGCTTTAGTCAGCGACAGGGAGTTGACTTCTTTCAGACCTTCTCCCCTACCCCAAAGATGACCACTCTTCGGGTACTGCTGCACGTCGCAGCTCAGCGTGACTATGAGCTTCACTCTCTTGACTTCAGCACAACTTTCTTATACGGCAGCCTGCACGAGGATCCATGGCTGCGCCGCCCACCTGGCTTCACTGGGTCGTTTCCTGCTGGTACCCAGTGGAGCCTCCGGCGGCCAGTCTAAGGTTTCCGCCAGACGCCTCACGAGTGGCACGGCACACTGAGGACGACGCTTGCAGCTCTTGGGTTTGCTCCTTCGACTGCTGACTTGTCGCTTTTTCTACGCACTAACACTACCCTTGTGTCCATTTGCTTGTGCTAAGAGTGTGTGGTGACTTTGTGATCCACCCTGAGCTTGCTTTGTTTTTTCTTGTCTGGTCTTGTGACCTCCTGTTCTCCCCCACTTTGCCTATGGGGGTGTGTCAAACTGTTAGAATGCTTATATTGTGTAGGCTCTAGTGGGGTAGCCCATAAAAGGTACAACCCAATTAGGGTTAGTACTTGTACTCAGTTTCTTGTCAATCATTCTCATTCAGTTTCTTGACACGTGACCGCGTCAACCAGCTGCCCGGTTGTTTCCTAGTCGCTATATGCTTAACGCGCCTAGCCCAAGGATGGAATTTCCAAGCCCTCGCTCTAGTGTTTGGAATAAGTCACCAGCATGCGCAATGAATCTTCAAAGCCTTCTCCGACTTCGTAGAGCATGTGTTGGAGTCGGAATGGGTCAGGTGGCCGTCAGAGATGGAAATAGACTTGATGGAAGCCGAATTCCGGTACGAATCCGGAATACCCGGAATGGCGGGGTCCATCGACGGCACATACATAGAATGCCGAGGATTGGGGGAAGATGCTGAGGATTTTAGAAACCGCCATGGAGATTTCACCATTATACTTCAGTTACTCGAGGATCTGTTAGGCAAAATCTGGAACTTCTTCGCGGGGTGGCCTGGTTCCGTGAATGATGCAAGAGTATTTGACAACTCTGAAGCAAGAGAGAAAATTGAGGCCGGGGCATTATTCGTCAGAGTGATCGTTGGGGATGCAGCCTACGGATTGCGAGCATACACCTACCCTCCCTGCAGAGCCCCGCCAAATATAAACGTGGGCGGAATAGACCGAGTGTGGAACAAACAACAATCAAGAGCGAGAATGATAGTAGAGCAAGAGAACGGGCGCATCAAGGCTGAATGGCGCCTACTAGACAAACACATGGAGTGCAATCTACCACGGGTATGCGATGCAGTGCGCATGGCGGTGGTGCTACACAACGTGGAGCTTGAACTCGGACACCGTCCACGGTTCGGCCCACCCCGCGTGCGCGACCGATAGTGGCTGCGTAGGCCGGCGGCGAGAGCACCACACCACAGCTCTACGGGTCGGCGCTTTTCCCCCGAGAGGCGCCGGGATCGCCTTCGGAATCATCTTTTCGCCTCTTGGAAGCTTGCTCATCCCGGAGTGCGCGTGCCAACTCTCGGGTATGATCTAGCAGTCGCTGCATTCCGCGGTCTATCACCCTCTCGAGTGACGCCTTGATCCCATGCACAACCGAGTCCAAAAGTGTCGTGTCTTGTCAGAATCCCAACCACTAGACCATTGGGATAAAAGGTCTTGTTTTAGTGGCGGGTCAGTGCGCCCATAACCCCCCAGGCTAACAGGCCTGTAACCCCCCAAGGATCAATCGGGGATCTCACAGTGCAAGTCTTCTGACACCCCCCCACAATGGGAGGTCTAGGACTCGGCACAGCGGCAACGGCCTGCATGTGCATACACCGGGATTCGAATCCGAGACTGCTCTGATACCACGTCAGAATCCCAACCACTAGACCATTGGGATGAAAGGGCTTGTTTCAGTAGCGGGTCAGTGCGCCCATAACCCCCCAAGCTAACAGGCCTGTAACCCCCCAAGGATCAATCGAGGATCTCACAATGCAAGTCTTCTGACATGTCTGATGTACCTCCGCTCATGTCCGGCCCGTTACTCGTTGCTTGTGTGGTCGTTGTGGCAGGCGACGCCTCAGGCCCCCGTAGGCCCTTGACGCGAGCCGCAGGATTCGCCCTCGCGGGTGAGTGTACATTCGGCGCCGCGACAGTCGGTGGCGCGAAAGGAGGCACAGGGGCAGCCGGCACCGTCGGCGTGGAGGGCGCGACTGACAAACCCAGCGGTGATGGCGTCGTAACGGGTGTTGGTGGTGCTGGCGGCGTCTCTGGGGAATCTGGTCCAGTAGTAGGAGATGCAGGCTGGAATGTTGCGGAGGGAGAAGCAGGCGCCACGGTCTCCACGACGGTGGCAGCGGAGCCAGTGCCTTCCCCAACCTGGGGCAGCGGTGGGGACCCATGTTGTCCTGAAGAAGTGCCAGCGGTGGCGGAGTTGAGGGCAGGGGCTGGAGTAGGCGTTTCTTCGGTGTCAGCTCGCGTATCATATTTCTCCCATCCAACGTATTAAACGGTTGGAATCTGGTAACAGCAGAGTTTGTCGCAAAGCACACCAAAGCAAGGGGTGGCTTGGGAAAGTTGGCTGTCGCACACTTCCCCGTGCACACCAAGCGTTTACAACTCTCGAAAATATGAGACTCTGAACTCAACGTTGACAGAACCCGAGACCAAACCTGTCCCCCTTGGCTCGTTTTCCACCCAAAACAACCCACCCTGGTTTGTTTTGGCCTCGACTGCTTGGGAGTTCGCTGTGCTATTTTCACCCACTCGTCAAATATTTCGTCATTCATTACCCAATCACAGACAGGCAAACCCAACCAAGTGTTAAAAGGTTGGAAATCTGAGACGCGAGCTTTAAGGCAGCACAATCGGATGACAAATACACGATACAGGATGTATATGGAAGAGGACGCATCTAGTGTAAGGGTGAAACACTCTAAGAGCGTATTCCTATCCTCCTATCAATCTGACCTCCTATCAAGCTCACACTGAAAAATCCCCTAAACCCAAAACCTCTCGCTACTTTTACCAGGCAAAAAGTACAATCTTGATAGGAGGTCAGATTGATAGGAGGATAGGAATACGCTCTAAGGCTAATAAACACCGTTATAACATGTTTTGGATTCAGCAGAGGATATTAAGAAAAAATAATATTTGTACATTAGATGATTTTGTTGACCCCAACATGTCTTCTAGGCACTTCGCTGTATTTTTATCTCGGGAAAACCTCGTTACACACTTGGGACTGATAGCCTATCAGCCCCGGCCACAATACGAGCTGATTGAATCACATCCCCCGTGCGCAGCTGTGCCAAAACGTCCCTCCCTCTTGTCACATACCTGCATAAGCATACCACCCAACACAGCATATTTCAGAAACTTTCATCATGGAAAAGCATAAGCGAGGCGATTCTGGCAGCAAGTTGACATGAAATGACTGGCTTACCCGAAAACTGAGAATTGGCCCTCATCAAAGGCAAGTCCACCCAACCCAGACTGCATTACACAATACAAAAAACAGGTGAATGGGACGAGCGGATTAGAAAGGACAGGAGGCGCACCAAATACATGGCACCATTCGCTAAGAACGAAGCATGCTGTCACTGCAGGCATTAGCACCTACCGGTCTTTTGTCGTATTTGTTGACGGACAATGGTGAGGGATAACTCAAGGAGTCACTTTCATGTGAAACGACTGCTGCTGAGTACCTGAAGCAGCTCGACTGCTGAGTACCTGAAGCAGCTCAACTGCTGAGTACCTGAAGCAGCTCGACTGCTGAGTACCTGAAGCAGCTCGACTGCTGAGTACCTGAAGCAGCTCGACTGCTGAGTACCTGAAGCAGCTCGACTGCTGAGTACCTGAAGCAGCTCGACTGCTGAGTACCTGAAGCAGCTCGACTGCTGAGTACCTGAAGCAGCTCGACTGCTGAGTACCTGAAGCAGCTCGACTGCTGAGTACCTGAAGCAGCTCGACTGCTGAGTACCTGAAGCAGCTCGACTGCTGAGTACCTGAAGCAGCTCGACTGCTGAGTACCTGAAGCAGCTCGACTGCGCTTTCAGGTGGGCTCACAAGCGCAGCAGGTACTCTTACCTTCTCATCTCTTCTAGTGTATGACTCAAACAACACCCACCCGTCTCTTGTCGTATTTGTCAAGGAAGAACTGCGAGGGATGGCTGAAGGAGTCGCTCTCTGGAGAGATAACTGCTGAGTCGACTCACAACCACAGCAAGCACTAGCACCTGCCCATCCCTTGTGGATTTCTGATGATACAGGAAAAAACACATACCCGTCTCTTGTCGTATTTGTAGAGGAAGAACTGCGAGGGATGGCTGAAGGAGTCACTCTCTGGGGAGTGGGCCATGACCATTGCTCCGAACACTGACATGGGCAGCACTGGGAGCTCCCCGTCCTGTACGGGAGAAGAAAGGAGAAAGTAGAGTAGGAGTTTGAGGAACAAAGATACACATATGCATGAGTATGAGTGATGAGCAGTGCACTGGACACGGACATGAGCAGCACCGGGAGCTCCGTCCTGTATGGGAGAGGAAACGTAAGCATGTCCGAAGCATCTCCGAAGCATCTTAGAAGCATGTCAGAAGCATCTCCTTACCTGCACGTCCAGCGGTGTGCGGTAGATGGGTTGGAACTCGCCAGCTGGCATGATCTCAAGAGGCACGTCCCGGCCGGCGGAGGGATATCGAGCGTCGGATAGGACTGCAAGGTCTGTAGCTTTGACGGCTACTCCATCGTATGCCCGGCGCGACACCTGGCGGATTGGGATGATGATTGTTGCAAAGGAAGGAAGGTTTGAAAGCAACTCGAGCGTCGGATAGCACGGCCAGGCCGGTTGGTTTCACTGCCACTCCATCGTATGCGTGGCGTGACATGACACCTCGCGAGTCACGAAAGCAGGAGTTCGGATTTGGGTTGTGAGATGACTCAAGAAACTAGAGGTTTGTATATGGAGTGCGAGAAGGGTTGCATAGGAAAGAGAAAGAGTCGGTTTGACTGTCAGCAGGGGTACAGGAGTTTGTGTAAGATAGCATAGCACGCTGGACACCCGCAGCAGGGGTGCTCTTGGGTCTGGCGTGGGTTGCTTTCACTGCCACTCCACTGTATTCATACTGGGAGACCTGCTATTGGGGAATGGGGTCACGAACTGGGGACTTGAACAGAAGGTGTGTGAAGGGATGTGGAAGCAGAGACATTTTAAAGCCCCTCTATCACTCGCATCTGACTTCCCGAACTCACTCACTCTCTCACTTGGAAGGAGGGCAGAAACCTTCCAGCACTCCCTCACTCCCTCACTCCCTCACTCACTCACATTCAATCACCTCCCTCACTCCCTCACTTCCCTCACTCCCTACTTCCCCCACTTCCTCACTTTCCCCAATTCCTCACTTCCCCCATTCTCCCGCACTCCCTCATTGCCCCCGCCGCCTCAGCTCCTGCACTCCCTCCCACTCACCAGCTGAGCAAAGTTCCCCGCTGTGAGAGGAGCAGAGTAACCGTCCAGCACCACCTGTGGGGTGATGAATCATGGATGAATGAATGGATAACGGAAAATTAAGGAGGATGTATGCTTTTGAGCTGTGAGCGGAGCAGAGTAACCATATACCACCACCTGTGGGATAAACGGGTTATAAGAAGGGAAGGGAATGTGACGGGAAGGGATGTGAATGGGAAGAGAAGGGAAGGGGATGTGAAGGGAGGGGATGGGATTGGGAAGGGAATAGGAAGGGAAAGAGGAAAAGCAGCGCAAGGAAGGCATTACGAAGGGCATGGTAAGGGGAAGTGGGGAAAGGAACGAACGTGCTCAAGGATCGAACGTGCACAAGGAACGAGAGAAAATACTGCTACCGCACGCACACGCACAAGTAGCGAAGTTGTGCGGACTGCCTCTGAACGCACCTGCAGCACGCCTGTGAGCGCTGAGGTGTCTCCATTATCGAGGGAGAAGTAGGAGCCATCCAATGCAAGCACGTAGAGGAGGAGACATAGGATGGGAGCGGGGAGGGAGCATGGAGGAACGGAATACCCACCTGCAGCACGCCTGTGAGCGCCGAGGTGGCTCCGTTATCGAGGGAGAAGTAGGAGCCATCCGCCTTGAGCACTGCAAACTCCACCGTTGCCCGCCCCGTTAGCCTGAGAAAAGTGGCGCGCGGTGAGGGAAGATTACGGGGTGAGAGAAATGCTTTTTTAATTGACTGGAAGGAGAAGCAGGAGCCATCCGCCTTGAGCACTGCAAACTCCACCGTTGCCCGCTCCGTTAGCCTGGGATGTGTGAAGGGAGGAGATGGTACGGAGGTAGCCAAGGGGAAGAGGGCGAAATGGAAGATTGAGAAATGGAAGAGGCAGAGGGGGAAAAGGTGCATTGTCAAACCGCCAGAGCAATAACGTAACCTGCACAAGGATACCGGCAGATTGGGTGGGCGGGGATGAGCGAGCAGCGAAAGGCCCGTGGCTTGCAGCAAAGAGAGATAGGGGCTGGACGGACATGCTTCAGCTACAAGCAGAGCAGTCAGTTGTTCAGTGACACACATATGCTCACACCCACCGTGGGAGGCTGGCATATTGGGCGGGGATGGGGAACTGAAGGCCCGTGGCCTGCAGCAGCAGAGAGAGGCTGGCCTTTACAGAACGTGGTATTGTGAGGGGTTTGGTAACTGGAAGCAGTTAAGATTCCCTCACCGTGGGAGGGTGGCGTATTGGTTGGGGATGAGGAACTGGAGGCCCGTGGCCTGCAGCAGAGACAGGTTCGCCACGTCGTTGAGGGAGGAGGCAAGGCGGATGGAGACGCGGTCAGGGTCCTTGTCCTCTATGGCTGCTAGGAGGCCGGGGAAGCCGCTCTGATGAAAAGGAAGGTGGGGAGGGCAAAGAGGAAGGCGGGGTGGGCAAAAAAAGAAGGAACGAAGCGAAGCGGAATAGTTAAGCAATGAGGCAAGGCGGATGGAGACGCGGTCAGGGTCCTTGTCCTCTATGGCTGCTAGGAGGCCGGGGAAGCCGCTCTGGATTGAGAGTTTGCGGAGGAGGAGGGGCGGAAAGGAGAATGAAAAGGAGGAAGGATTGAGGCAAAGAGTGAAAGAGTGAGCAATGAGGCGAGGCGGATGGAGATGCGGTCAGGCATAAAACAGCATCACACAACACCACCACAGCACCGCACGCACAGCACCACACCACACACCTTGGAATTGACAAGGTCGTTGTAGATGGCTGCTGCTCTCTCCCTGTCGGCAGCAGGCACAGCATCCAGAATCGCCACTTGATTGGCCTCTGCCAACTGCAAGGGAGGAAAAGAAGGACGGGAGAACGATGAGAGGAGAGGGAAGGAGGGGGAGCGTAGAAGAGGAGAAGGAAACAGTGGAGAGACAAGGCCTATGTATAAGACTGCTGCCCTCTCCCTGTCAGCAGCAGGCACAGCATCTAGAATCGCCACTTGATTGGCCTCTGCCAACTGCAAGGGGGGAAAGAAGAGAACAGAGGAATAAGAAAGGGGAGGAAAAGAGTGAGGAGAGGACGAGGAGGAGAGGGGAGATGGAAGAGGGGAAGAAAAAGGAGCACATGCACTCACCTTGACCGCCTTATTCACGTTCGCCTGCATTGTCTTGTACGGCTTCTTCTGAGGGATGCGCATGAGGGTCGAAATCTCCTCCAACTCATCCTGATTGGTTGGACGGTAGCAGGCCAGGGTGTTGAGGGGAGGGGAGGGAGGGATGGGGAAGGGAGAGGGAAGGGGGGAAGAGGAATGGACGAAAGACAAATACAGAACAGGGGAGGTTGTGGAAGAGGACCGGTTTGCGACGTTAGAACATTAAGTGATAAAAAGTGCATTGAAACAGACTTGGAATTTCTCACATGGGTTGTGGAGTTGGCTGCCCTAATCCCACCGAATCTGCCCTTAACATGATCTTCACTACCTAGGTTATAGTAGCATCGGACCGATACTAATTCGGACCGATATAATTCGGCTATATATTCCAATAGAATCTTATTTTGCTTGACTAAGACACGAAAATGGCTGCCCTAATCCCACTGAATCTGGCCTTACCTGGATCTTCCTGACGGCCTCGTTGACAACTGGCACGGCGCGGCGGAGCGCCACGTCAGCATTGCGCGGAACCTTGGTGTCCGGGGAGAGCAGGATGGCTTCCGCGGGGGGTGGCTGCGCCAGCAGGGGGACGAACGCGGCGGACAGTGGCGCAAGCACCTGCGGAGTAGGAGGATAAGGGGGTAATGGACGGGGGGATAGGAATTTCAAGTGGGGCGTGGGAAATGCGTGGGGGAATGGGCGATTGCACGCGGGAATGGGGAAATCCTCGGGGAACTGGGGGAATGCGGGAATGCGGGAATGCGGGAATGCGGGAATGCAGGGGGAAATAGACGACTGCACGAGCATCGACTGACATTCAGTTCCGGGGACGCACGCAGGAAGGGCAAATGGTTAGCTAGGATTGCCTCTTGGAAGCGCCATGGATTTTCTCACCGATGCAATGTTCGACCAGCGCGAATAAGACTCGTAACAAGCGTCATGCCGTAACCCATATTGTACCAGAGTGCGTACTAGTGAGTGTTGTTTTAGAGCGTATAACGGAGTAGCTCTCACCTGAACTGCAGCTAGCACCGCAGCGACGGCCTTGCCTGCCACCGTCGAAGACACGCGAGAAACATCGGACGGCCCTGCGGATGCGGAGGGCTGGGCAGCGAAACACGCGACAACGAAGGAAAGAAAGAAAAATCAGCGGACCAGTGCGAACTAATCTCGATTTTTTTCCCAAGGGAATATATATTCAGTCCCATTGCTCTTGAGAAGATACTCGTTATAATAGTACCTTCGCGCTGGACCTGGCCTGACCAGCAACGACAGTGATAAGGCGTTAATTAGGGAGGTACATTTGTGCTAGCCCTGGTCTGCAAAGAAAGTGCCTCCTGACGTTTTGATCAGGAGAATTCATTTTCGCTAGCAATGGCCGCCTCTGATCATGATAACGTGTGTTTCGCCACGCGTTGATTGAAGAAGCACCTTCCCGCCAAGTCTGGTTTGCAAGAATGCCAAGTATAATGCCTTGAAAAGCAATAAATGGGAAAGTGCATTTTTCGCTAGCATGGTCTCCAATAATAATTCCTCTTAAATCAATAATAGGAAAAGTACCTTCTCGCTAACCCTGGCCTGCACTGGCTGGCGAGCGACAATCAAGCTATGATGACCGCGCTGCTTCCGCAGCGAGGCCACATCGAATGCGCCGGTTCTCACGGCCGCGCTGCTTAGGGCGACCGGCAACTGCTGCGCTCCGGCAGCTTCTCCCCTCCGCGAGAGCGCGAGGCTTGCGGAAAGGCTTGGAGCAGAGCAGAGAGCTGCGGTCGCCATGATAGTATTTGGCAAGGAAAACAAAAATTTTGGTGCACTTCTCGTCAATCTCAACAAGTAGTTTCTAGGTCGAAATCTGTGTGTCCACCTTGAGAGTCTGAGAGCCGTATTCGAACGGGTTAGGGCAACATCAGGTTGTACAGTTCTTGTATCGTGGCATAGGACGGTTCCACACGGTGACAGTAGGTTCTACAAAAATACCATTTTGCACCGTGTCAAAACGCATTTGACCGCAGTGACCGTACAGATTCTGTGCAACCTCGCCCTACCCTGCGATCCACTTACCACGAAGACTTCCAGCCACGTAAACAGATCCTCTCACCTCGCTCCGTTTCGCCACATGAGCAGGCATCGCTGGTTCGAGTGCCCTGTGACGACAGAGTGACGTCGGTTCTAAATCCTGCACATCTGACGTGGGTGCCTTGCAACGTGGCACCAAAGCAGAGGTCAGTAGCCAAATCCGCGTGAAAGCCATTATACTCGTCGATAAAAGTGTCTACCACCTAAGCTATTATACAGGTAGAATCTACTTCCCAAATATCAACAAATCCACATCCGAAAAAACTAACTAAAAAACAAAACTCAAAGCAGTGAGACAAAATGATTGAACAGGTCAGCAATAGCGGGCTCACAGCCCGAACCTGGCCAAGGACCTGTGACCCCTTCAAGCATGTCCCAATCCATCTGTCCCTGTGAACCATGCACGCTCTCCATCCAATGCATTATCTCCACACTAAGCCGTGCCATTAGCGGCACATCCACCAATCGCTGCTTCGCCAAATCCTCCCACGCTCGATCCGCCGCAATTTCCTGCTTCGACCGCGACAAGGGAGACGTTGACTTGGAAGAAGCAGAAGTTACCTTGCGAGAGCTAGGAGATCGGCTTGACGGCACTGTTGGGATGGGAGTTGGTGCAGAGGACCCGGGCATTTGCGTCGGGGATGAGATTTCCCCGGCTTTCCTAGCCGCCTTGCTTTGGTCTTCTACACTTTCCTCTTCAGTACTGTGACTCGTGGACCCGGATTCACTGCGATCCTCAGCATCCTTGATAGAGGCTTCTCCAGTAGAGGTAGAAGCTTTCAGGAAGGTATGGAGCCGGTCCACGAACGAAGCAAAGAGCAGCATTGCCCGCAGGGCTGATGGTGGCGGTGCTGGTGGTGGTTCTGACCCTCCCACTGCATTGCTGTCTGCTGCAGCAGAAGCAGCAGCAGCAGCAGCAGTATCCCTATCACCAGCAGCAGCAGTAGCAACACCACTACCAGCAGCAGCAGCAGAGGAAGCAGAAGCAGTGGCAGCAGTAGCAGCAGAAGCTGCCATAGCAGGTCCGGCGAGAGAAGGGGGCAGAACAGCACACCCATCCAGACCCACCACATGTGCCCGTGCCGCTTCATGCACTGCCAGCAGCAGGAACAGGTGGCGCGATCGCTGCCACCTGTGCAGTGGCCACGTCAGCACTGTTGCCAGCATGGCATCGCACACGCTGCCGCCCATCCCCCCTGCGACTGTTGCTGTTGAGAGTGAGGAGCGAGGGAGATGGAGGGAGGAGGCGGAGGGAGAGGAGGAGCGAGGGGAGGAGGTGGAGGCTGAGGGGGAGGAGGAGAGAAGGATGGAGGACTGTAATGGGGAGGAGGCAAGAGGGGATGATTGCAACGGGGAGGAGGAGAGAGGGGAGAATCTAGAAGGAGAGGAAGAGGAGGGGGGGTGTCGCGAGGGGGAATCACAGGATGAAGGTGAGGAACGGGGGAAGATGGAGGAAAGAGCAGAGGGAAGCCTGGAATGTAACTGAGAGGCAAGGTCGAGCAGGGCAGATAGGGAGGAGTCGAGGGAGTGTCGCTGGGAAGACGAGGCGGAGGAGGAGAGGTGCAGCAGCATGTGAAGCTGGAAGGGGAGGAAGCGCGCATTGCTCTCGCGCCCGCCCCCGTGGCAGTCAGTGCTGAAGCTGGCTGCGAGCACGAAGCGCGCGAGGAGCGTGCGGAGGTCTCGGAGTAAGATGAGGAATCGAGAGCCGTCCACATGGCCCAGGGAGGCAACGCTCTCCCACCAGGAATCCAACCTGCGAGCGTACACTGCTGGGGAAACCTGTGAGTGAGGAAGGGGTTGGGAAGAAAAAGGGATGCAGAGATGCGATTGAGATTGCTACATAACGTGTGTTGCTCTCGCGCCCGCTCCCATGGCAGTCGGTGCTGAAGCTGGCTGCGAGCACGAAGCGCGCGACGAGCGCGAACTGTCCACGTGGCCGAGGGAGGCAACGCTCTCCCACCAGGTGTCAAGGCCGCGGGCGTAGACTGCTGGGGAAACCTGTGGGAGTGGAAAAGGGGGGAAGGGGAGAAGAGAGCACGTAAGGAGGAGGATGAGAAAGGGAGATTCGTCCATGTGGTTGAGCGGGGAAACACTCCCCCACGAGGTGTACAGGCCGCGTGCATACACTGCAGGAGAGACTGTACCACTCATGCTTGGGCAGCTTGGCTAACAGGGCAGGCTCGGCAAGACAGCCTTACTTACCTGAGGGCCCCGCAGGGGAAATAGGGCGTTGCAGAGGGTGCCGCCGTTGCGAAGGGCTGCGCCGTCCCACTCGCGCTTGGGCAGCTTGAGGGCAGAATCGGCGCGCTTGGCACGGTCGTGGCAGGAGAAGTGGATGGTGTTGAAATGAGAGACTGTTGAGATAGACCAGTTCACTGCCACCCTGCTGGTCGTGGATGCTGGGAGGGGGAAGGGGAAGGTGTGGAGGGACGGATATGGATGAGAGGGAATGGTGGTGAGATATGGGGACAACAGGGCAGCAACAGGAGAAGTGGATGGCATTGAAGCGAGAGATGGTGGAGATAGACCAATGCACTGCCACCCTGCTGGTTGTGGCTGCTGTTGTGGATGCTGTTGTGGATGCTGTTGTGGATGCTGTTGTGGATGCTGTTGTGGATGCTGTTGTGGATGCTGTTGTGGATGCTGTTGTGGATGCTGTTGTGGCTGCTGTTGTGGATGCTGTTGTGGATGCTGTTGTGGATGCTGTTGTGGCTGCTGTTGTGGATGCTGTTGTGGATGCTGTTGTGGATGCTGTTGTGGATCCTGTTGTGGATGCTGTTGTGGATGCTGTTGTGGATGCTGTTGTGGATGCTGTTGTGGATGCTGTTGTGGATGCTGTTGTGGATGCTGTTGTGGCTGCTGTTGTGGCTGCTGTTGTGGATGCTGTTGTGGATGCTGTTGTGGATGCTGTTGTGGATGCTGTTGTGGATGCTGTTGTGGATGCTGTTGTGGATGCTGTTGTGGACGCTGTTGTGGATGCTGTTGTGGATGCTGTTGTGGATGCTGTTGTGGCTGCTGTTGTGGATGCTGTTGTGGATGCTGTTGTGGCTGCTGTTGTGGATGCTGTTGTGGATGCTGTTGTGGATGCTGTTGTGGATGCTGTTGTGGATGCTGTTGTGGATGCTGTTGTGGATGCTGTTGTGGATGCTGTTGTGGATGCTGTTGTGGAGAAGAGGCGGGAGGGACAGGCGGCAAGGCGAGAGGAAGGCAGCACACAGGGCGACGTGGAGAGAGAGCAGGGGAAGTGGATGCTGTTGAATTTCGTACCTAGCCTTTTCACTAAACGAAAAAAAACAACAACAAAAAAATGACTTACTCAGGCTCCAAGTGGAGAGGTCGGAGAAGCGTCTGGAGAAAGTATAAGCTCCGATCAGCTCGTTGGGGCGAAGACGGTAGCCTTCATGGCACACCATGCAGCGCAGAGCACGCATGGCAGGAGGCAGAGCGATGAGGCGGCTCAGCAGCAGACCTTGTGCGTCGTTGAAAGGGAAAGCAGTGGAGAGCAGAGCAGCAGCAGCAGAGGCATCTGCGCCACAAGCCTCCTCCTCCTCCTCCTCTTCCTCTCCCTCCTCTCCCTTCTCCTTTCGCTCCTCCTCCTCCTCCTCTTCCTCTTCCTCCTCATCCCTGGACCTGCCTGCACCAACTGCCGAAGTGGGGCCTGCACTGGCTGAGCCTTCCCCAGATACTGACGGTTTTGCTGAGGTCAGCATGATGCGGTGGGCCCCAGTAGGAGCCAGCTGGGATTTAACCCCCATGCTCTGAGATAAAAGGAGAGGTAGGAGGGGGGGAGGGGGGGGGGGGCGGGGGTGCATGGGAAAAACAAGGGTGAAGAATTGAGGGAGCTTTGGAGTCATCTCAACAATCAATAAATAACTGCCAGCTGGGATTTGAACCCATGCTTTGAGATTTGATGATAACTAAGGGAAGAGAGAGGGGGCAGCGGGGGGAAAGGGAGGAGGGCGAGGGGATGGGAGGGAGTTTGATCAGGAAGAGAGGGAGATTCTTTCTCACACCCACACACCCACTTTCATCAGTACATTGCCTCACCACACAGCACCCACTCCCATTCACACTCCCACCCATCTCACACTCTCACCCTCCTTCGCTCCCTCCTCACTCACTCGCTCACTCCCTCCCTCCCTCACTCCCTCACTCACCTTCATCAGCTCCATCCGTCGTCGCATTGCTTTCTCTCTCCTCCTCTCCTTCGCCCCTGCCCTCAGCTCAGCCACTGCCAACCGAACCTCCTCATCCACCCCCCTCTCCCCTCCTCCTCTCCCCTCCTCCTTCCCTCCCTCTAATTGCTCTCCCCCCCCACCTCGCTCGCCAACCTCTCCCGACTTCTCTCCACCGCTCAGCACCTCTAGAAGAGCTTCAGCCCTCGCTCCCAGCCCATCATAGCCCACCACCCCCTCCAGCAGCAGCAGCAGCGGCAACACCCCCTTCTCTGCCCCCTCCACCCCCTTCACTTCCCCGCCCACTCCCATTTCCCCACCCGGTTCCAGCCCCTCCTCCCCACCCATTTCCACCCTATCCCTCACACCCGTTCCCAGCAGAACTCGTTGTGTGGGTGGGTGGCCGCGGCACAGACCCAGCAGCAGACCCAGGAGGAGAGGCAGTGAGGGCAGGGCAAGCACGCGTTGCCAGGCGGGGAGGGGGCGGAGGTCAGAGAGGTCAGAGGAGGGGGAGAGGGCAGAGGGGGGGAATGAGGCGAGCAGATGGTGCACAGCAGCTGTGGGAAGCGGGAGACAGGGAGGGGAGGGGCGGGAGAGGGTGGGGAAGAGAGGGGAAGCGCAAGTTGCAAAGGAGGGGAGGGTGTGAGTTATCAGCAGCTCAAATTCAAAAGCAGAGACTAAGAAGCAGGCTGAGGAGACGGGGCAGGGAAAGGAGGGAGAGCGTGTGGTCAGGCAGGTAGGAGGCAAGAGATGAGAGAGATTTCAGGTAGGGGAGAGGGCGGCGGGAGGGAAGGAGGATACATATATGATCCATACCACTCTCCTAATCGGCCTGCAGGGATTAAGTGCTGCAAACTGCCCCTTGCCTTGCGGAATCCATTTTTGAGGCGCCTCAAAAAGTGCTGCAAACTGCCCCTTGCCTTGCGGAATCCATTTTTGAGGCGCCTCAAAAAGTGCTGCAAACTCGCTACACGAAACTGCCCCTTGCCTTGCGGAATCCATTTTTGAGGCGCCTCAAAAAGTGCTGCAAACTCGCTACACGAAACTGCCCCTTGCCTTGCGGAATCCATTTTTGAGGCGCCTCAAAAAGTGCTGCAAACTCGCTACACGAAACTGCCCCTTGCCTTGCGAAATCCATTTTTGAGGCGCCTCAAAAAGTGCTGCAAACTCGCTACACGAAACTGCCCCTTGCCTTGCGGAATCCATTTTTGAGGCGCCTCAAAAAGTGCTGCAAACTCGCTACACGAAACTGCCCCTTACCTTGCGGAATCCCCCTCTCCAGGATGAGAGCTCGCAGCCTCAGCCCACTGCCATCCAGCCTGATCGCTCCCACCAGCCGTTCAAAGTGCCCCGCCATCTGCCACCAGTGCACCGCCTTCCTCCTCCTCTCCTCCTCACTCTCCTCTTCACTCTCCTCCTTCCCACTCCCTCCCTCCCCACCTCCACCACTCCCCTGCCCCTCCTTACCCACCTCCTCCCCTCTCTTCCCCTCTTCCTCCTCTTTTCCAGCACTCTCCCCCCTCCCTCCCTCCCCACCCCCTCTTTCTGTCACAACCTCCAACCCCTCCCCTTCCTTCCCCACCCCTCTCAACTCCCCCACCAACCGATCAAACCCTGCCCAATCCAGCAGCAACGGGCGGAAATGATCCACCAGAACCCCCATAGCCCTGCCCTCTCCATACGTCATGTACGGCAAAATCCGAGCCACACTCTCCGAAAAATCCCTCTTCCTCTTCTTCCCTCCACCCGCTCCTCCTCCTGCCCCTCCTACCCCTCCACCTCCCCCTGCCCCCCCTGCTGTAAACGCGCCTGGGCCAGATAAGCCTACCCCAGAAGCAGCCTGGGAGAGCGATGCAGCAGTAAGCTTCTCGAGGAAAACTCTCACTGCTTCTTCGCCCCGCCCGGATCCTTCATGCTTCTCATCATGGCTATATTCTTCCTTCTCTGCTGTTGCACTGCCCACACCGCTTTCGCCCCCCATGCCGCTACCCTCACCACCTTCCACCATCAGCAGGTCAACAATCCGAAGCAAGGTGTCAGCTGCAACCTCCGCCGAACCTGCCAGCGAGGCCTGGGAAGCAGCAACAGCAGCAGCAGCCACCCCAGCCGCCCCGCCCCCAGGTGCTGACGTGGCAACACCGTGCGCGTACAGCGCTGCACGCGTGGCGCGGTCGAGCAGACGTGGCAGCGCGTGGGAGCGCAGCAGATGCACGCGATTGGTCCGCAGCAAGCACGCGGTGTGCAGCAGCTTCAGGAGGTCTGCCACGTCATCCTCCCCACTCGCTAACTCCTCATCTGCCACCTCCTCTAACAGCCTCAGCAGCAGCAGCAAACCGTCTGGGCTGCCTATTTCACTCCCCTCCTCACCCCTGGCGCCATCCCCTGGAGCCATTGGCTCGCTCTCCTTTCCATCTGCTCCATTGGCCACAGACCTCTCCTGCTGCTCACTCTTCAAACGTCGCGTTCTCTCCCCATCAGAGCTGACAGGCACGAGAGCAGCAGCAGCAGCGAACTCCTTTTCGGGGTTAGTAGCTTCCTCTCCGCCCTCCTCCAGCTCCTTCACTATCGGCTCTGCTGCCTCTCCGTCCAAGCCCTGGTGGTGAGGGTGGGGGAGAGCCAGGGGCGAGAGAGAAAGTAAGGAGGGTATGTTGTGAGTAGCTTCCTCTCCGCCCTCCTCCAGCTCCTTCACTATCGGCTCTGCTGCCTCTCCGTCCCAGCCCTGGTGGTGAGGGTGGGGGAGAGCCAGGGGCGAGAGAGAAAGTAAGGAGGGTATGTTGTGAGTAGCTTCCTCTCCGCCCTCCTCCAGCTCCTTCACTATCGGCTCTGTTGCCTCTCCGTCCAAGCCCTGACATTGACAATAGTATAGTGAAACGAAGGGGGTTTCAAAGAGGGATTCAAAAGAGGGGGGCAAGGTATAATGAAGGGAGGGGGGCACGGAGTGAGTGGAAGGGTCTCTTCGCCCCCCTCTCTTCCCCCTCCTTCATTTACATTCCATCTCCTTCATTTACATTCCATCTCCTTCATTTACATTCCATCTCCTTCATTTACATTCCATCTCCTTCATTTACATTCCATCTCCTTCATTTACATTCCATCTCCTTCATTTACATTCCATCTCCTTCATTTACATTCCATCTCCTTCATTTACATTCCATCTCCTTCATTTACATTCCCCCTCCTTCATTTACATTCCATCTCCTTCATTTACATTCCCCCTCCTTCATTTACATTCCATCTCCTTCATTTACATTCCATCTCCTTCATTTAGATTCCATCTCCTTCATTTACATTCCATCTCCTTCATTTACATTCCATCTCCTTCATTTACATTCCCCCTCCTTCATTTACATTCCATCTCCTTCATTTACATTCCCCCTCCTTCATTTACATTCCATCTCCTTCATTTACATTCCATCTCCTTCATTTACATTCCATCTCCTTCATTTACATTCCCCCTCCTTCATTTACATTCCATCTCCTTCATTTACATTCCCCCTCCTTCATTTACATTCCATCTCCTTCATTTACATTCCATCTCCTTCATTTACATTCCATCTCCTTCATTTACATTCCATCTCCTTCATTTACATTCCATCTCCTTCATTTACATTCCATCTCCTTCATTTACATTCCATCTCCTTCATTTACATTCCATCTCCTTCATTTACATTCCCCCTCTTTCATTTACATTCCATCTCCTTCATTTACATTCCATCTCCTTCATTTACATTCCATCTCCTTCATTTACATTCCATCTCCTTCATTTACATTCCATCTCCTTCATTTACATTCCATCTCCTTCATTTACATTCCATCTCCTTCATTTACATTCCATCTCCTTCATTTACATTCCATCTCCTTCATTTACATTCCATCTCCTTCATTTACATTCCATCTCCTTCATTTACATTCCATCTCCTTCATTTACATTCCATCTCCTTCATTTACATTCCATCTCCTTCATTTACATTCCATCTCCTTCATTTACATTCCCCCTCCTTCATTTACATTCCATCTCCTTCATTTACATTCCATCTCCTTCATTTACATTCCATCTCCTTCATTTACATTCCATCTCCTTCATTTAGATTCCATCTCCTTCATTTACATTCCATCTCCTTCATTTACATTCCATCTCCTTCATTTACATTCCCCCTCCTTCATTTACATTCCATCTCCTTCATTTACATTCCCCCTCCTTCATTTACATTCCATCTCCTTCATTTACATTCCATCTCCTTCATTTACATTCCCCCTCCTTCATTTACATTCCCCCTCCTTCATTTACATTCCATCTCCTTCATTTACATTCCCCCTCCTTCATTTACATTCCCCCTCCTTCATTTACATTCCATCTCCTTCATTTACATTCCATCTCCTTCATTTACATTCCATCTCCTTCATTGACATTCCATCTCCTTCATTTACATTCCCCCTCCTTCATTTACATTCCATCTCCTTCATTTACATTCCCCCTCCTTCATTTACATTCCATCTCCTTCATTTACATTCCATCTTCCCCCTCCTTCATTTACATTCCATCTCCTTCTTTTACATTCCATCTCCTTCATTTACATTCCATCTCCTTCATTTACATTCCCCCTCCTTCATTTACATTCCCCCTCCTTCATTTACATTCCATCTCCTTCATTTACATTCCATCTCCTTCATTTACATTCCATCTCCTTCATTTACATTCCATCTCCTTCATTTACATTCCATCTCCTTCATTTACATTCCATCTCCTTCATTTACATTCCATCTCCTTCATTTACATTCCCCTTCCTTCATTTACATTCCCCCTCCTTCATTTACATTCCCCCTCCTTCATTTACATTCCATCTCTTTCATTTACATTCCCCCTCCTTCATTTACATTCCATCTCCTTCATTTACATTCCATCTCCTTCATTTACATTCCATCTCCTTCATTTACATTCCATCTCCTTCATTTACATTCCATCTCCTTCATTTACATTCCATCTCCTTCATTTACATTCCATCTCCTTCATTTACATTCCATCTCCTTCATTTACATTCCATCTCCTTCATTTAGATTCCATCTCCTTCATTTACATTCCATCTCCTTCATTTACATTCCATCTCCTTCATTTACATTCCATCTCCTTCATTTACATTCCATCTCCTTCATTTACATTCCCCCTCCTTCATTTACATTCCATCTCCTTCATTTACATTCCATCTCCTTCATTTACATTCCATCTCCTTCATTTACATTCCATCTCCTTCATTTAGATTCCATCTCCTTCATTTACATTCCATCTCTTTCATTTACATTCCATCTCCTTCATTTACATTCCCCCTCCTTCATTTACATTCCATCTCCTTCATTTACATTCCCCCTCCTTCATTTACATTCCCCTCCTTCATTTACATTCCATCTCCTTCATTTACATTCCATCTCCTTCATTTACATTCCATCTCCTTCATTTACATTCCCCCTCCTTCATTTACATTCCCCCTCCTTCATTTACATTCCATCTCCTTCATTTACATTCCCCTCCTTCATTTACATTCCATCTCCTTCATTTACATTCCATCTCCTTCATTTACATTCCATCTCCTTCATTTACATTCCATCTCCTTCATTTACATTCCATCTCCTTCATTTACATTCCATCTCCTTCATTTACATTCCATCTCCTTCATTTACATTCCATCTCCTTCATTTACATTCCATCTCCTTCATTTACATTCCATCTCCTTCATTTACATTCCATCTCCTTCATTTACATTCCATCTCCTTCATTTACATTCCATCTCCTTCATTTACATTCCATCTCCTTCATTTACATTCCATCTCCTTCATTTACATTCCATCTCCTTCATTTACATTCCATCTCCTTCATTTACATTCCATCTCCTTCATTTACATTCCATCTCCTTCATGTACATTCCCCCTCCTTCATTTACATTCCATCTCCTTCATTTACATTCCATCTCCTTCATTTACATTCCATCTCCTTCATTTACATTCCCCCTCCTTCATTTACATTCCATCTCCTTCATTTACATTCCATCTCCTTCATTTACATTCCATCTCCTTCATTTACATTCCATCTCCTTCATTTACATTCCATCTCCTTCATTTACATTCCATCTCCTTCATTTACATTCCATCTCCTTCATTTACATTCCATCTCCTTCATTTACATTCCATCTCCTTCATTTACATTCCATCTCCTTCACTTACATTCCCCCTCCTTCATTTACATTCCATCTCCTTCATTTACATTCCATCTCCTTCATTTACATTCCATCTCCTTCATTTACATTCCATCTCCTTCATTTACATTCCATCTCCTTCATTTACATTCCATCTCCTTCATTTACATTCCATCTCCTTCATTTACATTCCATCTCCTTCATTTACATTCCATCTCCTTCATTTACATTCCATCTCCTTCATTTACATTCCATCTCCTTCATTTACATTCCATCTCCTTCATTTACATTCCCCCTCCTTCATTTACATTCCATCTCCTTCATTTACATTCCATCTCCTTCATTTACATTCCATCTCCTTCATTTACATTCCATCTCCTTCATTTAGATTCCATCTCCTTCATTTACATTCCATCTCCTTCATTTACATTCCATCTCCTTCATTTACATTCCCCCTCCTTCATTTACATTCCATCTCCTTCATTTACATTCCCCCTCCTTCATTTACATTCCATCTCCTTCATTTACATTCCATCTCCTTCATTTACATTCCCCCTCCTTCATTTACATTCCCCCTCCTTCATTTACATTCCATCTCCTTCATTTACATTCCCCCTCCTTCATTTACATTCCCCCTCCTTCATTTACATTCCATCTCCTTCATTTACATTCCATCTCCTTCATTTACATTCCATCTCCTTCATTGACATTCCATCTCCTTCATTTACATTCCCCCTCCTTCATTTACATTCCATCTCCTTCATTTACATTCCCCCTCCTTCATTTACATTCCATCTCCTTCATTTACATTCCATCTTCCCCCTCCTTCATTTACATTCCATCTCCTTCTTTTACATTCCATCTCCTTCATTTACATTCCATCTCCTTCATTTACATTCCCCCTCCTTCATTTACATTCCCCCTCCTTCATTTACATTCCATCTCCTTCATTTACATTCCATCTCCTTCATTTACATTCCATCTCCTTCATTTACATTCCATCTCCTTCATTTACATTCCATCTCCTTCATTTACATTCCATCTCCTTCATTTACATTCCATCTCCTTCATTACATTCCCCTTCCTTCATTTACATTCCCCCTCCTTCATTTACATTCCCCCTCCTTCATTTACATTCCATCTCTTTCATTTACATTCCCCCTCCTTCATTTACATTCCATCTCCTTCATTTACATTCCATCTCCTTCATTTACATTCCATCTCCTTCATTTACATTCCATCTCCTTCATTTACATTCCATCTCCTTCATTTACATTCCATCTCCTTCATTTACATTCCATCTCCTTCATTTACATTCCATCTCCTTCATTTACATTCCATCTCCTTCATTTAGATTCCATCTCCTTCATTTACATTCCATCTCCTTCATTTACATTCCATCTCCTTCATTTACATTCCATCTCCTTCATTTACATTCCATCTCCTTCATTTACATTCCCCCTCCTTCATTTACATTCCATCTCCTTCATTTACATTCCATCTCCTTCATTTACATTCCATCTCCTTCATTTACATTCCATCTCCTTCATTTAGATTCCATCTCCTTCATTTACATTCCATCTCTTTCATTTACATTCCATCTCCTTCATTTACATTCCCC